AAGGAGTTCTAAACAATGAGATTGATTGCTTGTCAGAAGGATAATTGAAGATGAAAAAAGCTATGGACAAATAATACTATGTGAGTTATTAGTTTGATGTTAAGTATAATTGTTAAACCATATGTTACTAATAGCCTAGATAATAGACAATATAGAAAACAAAAATGTCTAATAAAATATAATGGTTGTCCAAACAGTAAGTCTCGAATGATCTTTAGAAATGAGAGTTTAGTGCTACGAGTTGAACTGTAGTCTTCATTCCTGGAAAATTCATGTGATATCGTAATACTCCAACTTCCAGTACCTCAGAATGTGACTTGATTTGGAAATGGGGTCTTCAGTGTAGTTCGTTAAGTTGAAATAATGAGAGCAGGATGGAAGGCGGTGGAAGTGTACCTCGGGCGTGCGTCCTGCAGCCGGCTGTTGTTATCCTGAAAACTCCAAAGGCTCACCATCATTGGTCTAGGCCAGCATGGCTGACAGCTTATAAACAGGAAATCTGGACTCAGACAATGGATGGGGAGGATCCTGTGATGAACAAGGCAGAGATCAGGACAGTGCTTTCTCAAGCCAAGAACTGCCCGCTGTTGTCAGCCATTCATCAGGGATATGAACAGGCACTTCCCCCAGCCCAGACGAAACTAAGCCTACTTACACCTTGATCTCAGAACTGGAGGACAACACATTTCTAAAGTTTTAAAGTCACACAATTTGTAGTACTTCATTACTTTAGTGGAATGATACACAGCCACTATGGTGGAAAAAAAAACTGCAGGTGCCTTGATTAAACTTTGCCAGTACCCTGGACATTTAGGGGCACATCATCCACTGAAAATCCCACCCCAAGAATTTCATGTAAAAAATATTAATAAAATTGATGACACAACTTAAAAATAGTATTAGGAAAGAAAACATTAATCTCCCTGAGCTATGGAATACGTCATTGTTTTGCAGATAATGATAGTGGTGTCACCAGGTGTCCTTATGCCCAGCACCTCACTAGCTATCATCTTCATTTGGTGGCCTTTACTTATTACCCATGTCTGAGTCATGTTTATATTGTTTACCAAGCCATGTATCTTGGGGGCAGTATTTAGGAAATAAATAATAAATAAACGAACATTTCTGATCACCACAGTGAACTCCACCTATATCAATGCTTGTAGGAATTATGGCAGAGGCTGCCATTGTGATCAACAGTCTATCTGTGCTAATAGAGGTTTCCAAAAAAGAGTGTCTGCTTGGAAAATTCATGACAGTCCTGTGCACAACAACCATTCTCCCACTATTTATTGGTTCAACAGGTTAACAATGATACTGCAGAGAAGCAGCTTTTTAGTCTCATAAAACTCCCTTTTCCATGTCTTCTGCTGGAGCTTCCTGTGCCTTTGTGGTTCCTGGGAGAGAAAGAGGCCTACTGAGGCCTTGGACTGGAACATCAGCAGCTGTCAGGAAACCACACTGCCTTGTTCCCAGGCTGTCCCAGGCCTGGCTGTCTTCACAATTTAGTCTTTTTTGTTTGCTTGTTTGCCCTTTGAATCTTTTTCTCTTTCCTCATAGGCACTAGTGACTTATCTGGTTCTTGCTAACCAAGCATTAAATGAATAAGATTGTGAGAGAGAAAGAAACTTATTCCATTCTCTTGCATTCACTGAACCAGTAGCAGACATGACACAGTTCTTCTGCCGCTGCTACTGGATAACACACATGGTGGACTCCCTTCTTTTCCTCAGCTTGTGGAAAGTCATCTAAGCTTCATTGTGATTCCCAGAATAATCTCTGTCCAGAAATGGACACAGTTTTATTATCATAAAAATCCAACTTTCATTCAGCATGAAATTCTCCCCTTTTTAGTAGTCAGCTTTCCCATTGATGGACACAAGACACGGTGCCCATAACTTACAAGAAGATCCAGTTTGGCTCAAGATTTGGGGGAGGCAGTCCAGGCCAGCTGGTTCTAGTGTGGCAGCTCCACGATGCCAGGGTGTGACAGAGCAAGGCTTCTTAGTGCGCGGCCCCAGGAAGCAGAGCTGGGGAAGAACGGCAAAGAGGAAGGAGCCAGGGGTTGTGTGTGGCACCCAAAGCCACAGCTTCCAGAGCCACTTAGGCACCCCTACCACATCCTCCTATAGCGAAGAGCTGCAGGCACAGGATTTCCCTACTTCTTCTTCAGTAACAGTTTCCTCTCCAAGTCACAATTATCATCTGAGGTTTCAAACTTCCCGTGCATGGAATACAAAAGGGAGAAGTGAAAAGGAAGTAGGAAAGCTGTGTCGGTCCAACCAGACTTTGGCAGGCGATGAAGCAGACTCCTGGCACTTCTGTGGGTTTTCCCGAGATATTCAGTGGTGTTAACCATCTCACCGACAGGGGTGTGACTGGGCTGGTGCATCGGTCACACTGGCCCTATCACATTCCCTGGGGGTGTGTGGCAGCAGATCACCCCACATTCCTCAGCCACCAGCCTTCGAGGAAGCCACTGAGCAAACGCCTGTCTTAGCTCACCCTCGCAGTGGCCCACGTCTGCTCCCGAGGAGTATTGTGTTAGAGGCATCGTGTGTAGCAACTCAGTGCCGTTTTCTCTAAGCTCGGTGCCTACTTGTCTTCCTTTTCTTTTCTGTTCTTTTCTTTTTGGCCCCTTAGTGGGTAGTTCCAGCCAGAAGCCTTATTTTGAGACTTATCAGGCCTGAATCAGATACTAGTAGCTGAGTTCCCACAGTTCCAAGTCATGCTTGAAGCCCTTCTGGAAGGCTCAAGAAGAAGAGAAATTCCCTCCTCCTCCCCATCGCCACCATCAAGATTCTGACAGTGTCTTCTGATGAACTCCTCCTTCCCATGTCCAGATCCCTTTGGAGCTGAGTTAGCGTCTCACCTCTGCCTTTGCATTGTCTCAGTGTGGGTGGCTCAAGATCACAGAACATAATGTAAGTGTGTTCTCTGCAGGCTGTGCGTAGTCAATCTGGCATCTCGCTTTGCACTGTAGCGTGGCCACAACTGTCCCTGAGATAAGACGGCTCCAGTCTCACCCTGATCCTCCCTTAGAGTCCACCCTCCCACAGGCCTTGCTGAGTCATGGAAGTGTGGAACATTCCCCTGACAGTGCGTTTCCTGGAAGACCAGATTGGTCCCTATGCTGTGGAGCGCTTCTGCTGGTCCTGGGGTAAGGAGTATGCTGGTTACAGAAGCTCAGCTCTAAGGCCACGTGGAGGTGGGTCTCATCCACCACAACGAATCCCTCTAAAGAGCAGTTGATGTGGCGTCTCAAACCTGAAAAATGTGCTAATTTCTGAGAAATATCATGACCACAATCACTGAAGAAGTTGACAAGATATTAATTTGCTAAAATAAAATCAGCACTCTGTATCCAGATTCTGCATCTGTATCCATCCAAGTGCTGTGTTATATAAGGTACTTGAGCCTCCTTGGATTTGGAATACACAGGGCCCCAAAGCTCTGGAACAATTTCTTGTGCATCGTGAGGATGCTGGCAACAGGAAAGGGGGAAACCAGTTAATATCGTGTTTTATTACATAGAAACATAGATTTTCTTCTTGAGTTATTTTTCTTTTTTGTTAATTTATGTTTGCAGTATCTATTTGCATTCCTTATATGCAATTGGTGTATGTACATAACCCAGGCTAATTCCTTTTTCAGTCCATTTCTCTCCTACCCTCCTTCCTCTGTCTCTTGATCCTCTTCCCATTTGAGAAAGATCTGTGGATTACTTCCTATTATCTATCTTGTATTTTGCTCATTATTTATAACTTGGTTTCCCTCACAGGAGATAAGCCATCTGGTATTTAAACTTTGTGTGTCTGATTTATTTCACTTAACATTATGTTATTAAGGTGCATCCATTTTCCTACAACTGATTCAAATTTATCTTTCTTTATGTCAGACTTTGACTCCATTTTGTGTAAATGCCACATTTTATCAGCTTGTCCGTTGATGGACATTCAGGCTGCTTCCAAGATTTACTATTATGAATTGTGCTGCTATAAACACGGGTGCACATGGATCACTGTAATGTGACGCCTTTGGGGAAAATACCTAGAGAGGAAATGGCTGGGTCAAATGGAATTTCTGGCTTATGGTTTTCAGAAATCTCCATAACAATTTCCAGAGCAGTTGTGCTTACTCACATTCCTGCCAATAATGTAGAAGGGCCCCCCTTATTGACATCCTCAGCAGTATTTGTTATTATTTGATTTCCTGATGTTGGCCATTCTTTTGGCATCAGACAGAATCTCAGTGTTGTTTTAAGTTTCATTGCTCTAATGATTAATAACATTGTTTCTCCATATTTATTGGCAATTTATACTTCTGTGAAGTGTCTACTCACTTCACTTGCCTATTTTTTGTTGGTCTTTTATTTTTGGGGATCTGTTTTTTTGAGTTCATTATATGCTCAACCTGTTAGTCCTCTGTCTAAGGAATAGCTGACTAAAGTCGTATCCATTTTGTAGGTTTTCTTTTCACAGTAGTGATAATTTTTTTTTTTTGCTGTGAAGTATCTTTTTAATTTCATATGATCCCATTTGCTAACATCTCTCACAGAAACAAAGACCACAAACTCAAAATTCACATGGAACCGGAAGTTACATCCAGTCTTGTAAATCCTAACATTTGCTGCAACGTTAACTGTTGCTAAATTACAATGTACCTTTGGGATTAAAATGTATGATAAGCAAATATTTTGAGTAAGAGAAAAATATAGCACTGCACTAGCAAGAATATCAGCTCCTGGTGCAGACTAAATCATGCTCTTTGTAACACAAATAAAATGCAAGGACTCTTCAATGTTAATGTAAATCATGAGTACTTTTTCTAATAAAATCATTTTGTCATTGCAGTCATGGAGGCTCCCTGGCTGCCTGTAGAATCTAATAGGGTAAAGTGGGGAACCCCACATTTCTCAGTAAGAAACTTGAAACAAGTTAACCCCAAATAAGCTGGTGTCTTCACAGTGGTTCCCATCCTCACCACCTGCCTTCTTGCAGGAAACAGACCTCATCCTGACTTTCAACATTTCGATGCATCGATCCTGGTGGATGGAAAATGGCCCGGGATGCATGGTGACTTCGGTGACGCCCGCGCCCGACTGGGCCCCAGAGGACCATCGCTACATCACGGTCTCGGGATGCCTGCTGGAGTACCAGTACATAGAGGTGGCTCACAGCTCCCTCCAGCTCCTCCTGGCAGTAAGTGTCGGCGCCTTCCAGCCCCTTGGCTGATCTCTGCACGAGCTGAATGCTCATAAACGGAATCGGCGGAGAAAGTTTGGTCATTCTGCTTTTTTCTAATTGGTGTCACTTTGAATAGGAATTTATCCCTCTCAGCCAAACAGTTCCTGGGCCATGGGTGCTGATTGTCGTCAGCAATCAGTAAATAGCCTTCAATATCATCAGCGCTTTGCATGGGCAATCAGGCCAGGCAAGATGTGATTATGTGGCTTTGTGGGAGACTCCTAGGACTCCAGAGGGAAGATGGAGGTGCAGTTTGCAAGCTAACTTTCAAAAAAAGAAGTGTGTAAGACCGTGGCAGATATCTTCTCCCTCAGGGTTTCTTTGGCTGAGCTGCCAGCGCGAAGATTTCTCTTCTCAATTTGCCCAGTGTTCTGTTTTCTTCCCAGATTTCCCCCAAGAATCATCCGTGGCATTTTATCAGCTCCCCTCCCTTCTCAGAACAATTCCACTTTCTATAATTTTGCTTTTAACCTTTCACATCGTGTTTTGTCACAGTGTGCCGATAAAGAAACCCCCTCTTACCAGCAGGCATAAAAGTCACAAACAGCAAACTAACATCTTCTTGTTATACAAAATAAATCACTTTACATTATATTGCCGGGATAAATAAAATATCCATTTTTGGCCTGGGATTTAGTTCAGTGGCATAAGCACCTGCCTGGCATGCACAAGGTCATGAGTTTGATCCCCAGTACCAAAAAAAAAAGAAAAAAAAAAAAAGAAAAAAAAACTTCCCTTTTCAAGAGGAACTTTTATTAAGAACTTTGATTATGACTAAGTGTATTGTGAGATTTATATTGTGAGACAACTTTGCTACACTGTACATGAATCCATTTATTCATTCCAGATATAGAACCATTTATATTTTTCTGACATTCCACATAGATCTGCACAGAATGTGCATAGTCTGAGAATTGTCAGTGACTGATAATGCAAGTAGAATTGGCCTTTTACCTCTCTCTGCAGTTTATCCTTTTGGGAATGATATTAACTCACAATGGAATAATAAGAAATAGGAACTTACAGATCGAATGGCACCAATGAGTTAGATTCTTCTGGTATGAAAAATGAATGTGTATCAACACATATAGGTGCTGTAAGTGTGCTGTGCTAGGGAATACTTCCTAAATTCCTCACTAAAATCATAAAGGTTTGTTCCACATGTCAGCAGAAGGCACTATTGGCATGGTCACTAAGGGGACAGACTGATGGTACATCCGTCAAGCCAGTCAGGCCGAGATCTGACAGCTTTGCGGAGTCCACATGGGCACAGGGGTGTCCTTGAAGGAGATGCTGGTGTCCACAGTTTATTGTCCTGCATCTGTCACACAGACCCACCAATCACAGGATGACCAGGAAGGAGGCAGAACTACCATAGCTGGAGATTCATTTATGTAATTTTGAATTATGTTCTGGCCAAGGCACTGAGCAGTCTCCTGTAAATATATTGAACCTGAGATATTTTTTTCAAAAAAGAAACAAAATTTTCTCAAGAAATATTCCTTTTGCTTATCTTGAAATAAAAATGTGTTAGGTTTGCTGCCATGGAAGTAGCCATATTATTCTTTAAAATCCACTTAAAATAATATTCAGTCTCATATGGGATAAGTGAAATATTTATGGGATTTGAAGACAGGTAAAATGTCTTTAGATGTTACAAAAGGGAGTTTTTAAACAACATTTTACATTCTTTGGGAGTCTTTTTAAAAAAATCATACCTGCAACTTTCTTTAAAGCTTCCACCTATATTTCAAGGAAAATGTAAAGATATAATTCATGTATGTGGGTACTTACATAGATTTTAGAGAGTCATTTGAATTAATGTGTATATAACTATACTCACAAGTTTGTTAAACCCCATCTAAAAGTTTGCACAGAAATGCATTCAGATGTGGAAGCATATGCTGATGCTGCCTTATCACCCTAAGAAAAATATTTTTGCATAAGTTAAAAAAATAATCTCTGTAAAAACAAACTGGCTGGAGCGTCCCCAAGAGCAGATGTAATCAAGGATTCCAATTATTGGTTATCACTTCTCTTGTCTAAATCCACTGCCAATGTAGTGAAGAAATAGTTTGAACACACAGCCACAGGATGTGGTCCATTTCCCACTTTCCCTTCCATGCATGCTTCCTTCCTTCCCGGGAGTTTGTTTGCAATTCCAATTGTTTGGAGGATAAGTTCCCTGCTGTGCACTGAAGCTGTTCCTTAGAGAAATCACAGCTTTCTGACTACCTGGGCTGTTGTGTATAGCTAGCCTTGGGCTGAAAGTGCCTAGGTACAGAAAAGCTTAGCAAATCTTCACTGCAGTTTTACACTGCAAACCCAGGAGGCTTCCTGTTGAACAATTTGCTCCACATAGTTACTGGAAGCCTTCCAAAGATGCTGTCCTGTAGCACTTCTGATGGCTTGTGCTAGAATGATTAATGGAGAAATAGTGTCTTGAGTCTCTGCTCCTCTCCTTCTGGTACCCATCATCTCCCTGGCAATAAAACATTCCCTTCACTCAGGTCCAGGGAATGCTTCCTGAGTGTCTGTGTCTTACAGCATCCAGAGAAACACATGTCAGGACCCCTGACGTTGGGGTTGTCACTGTCCAACTGGAGCAAGGCTCTCAAGGGTGCCAGCTGGATATGAACACATGCCTTTTCGGGACTGGTCCAGGGATGATACAGCCTGTGCTCTTGGGAAGTAATCTTGGCTTCTCAGTTACACTCTGCTTTCTGTAAAATCAGCTAAGCTCTCACTCTTATTGTTTTTCTCCGAATCTTTGAAACAGCCCCGCCTTGCAGTATAGCTGGCTTCCATCTGCTTCCATCGACTGCTGCTCTCTCAGCTATTGCTCTTGATTAAACTCCAAATTCCTTCAGCTTCTTTTACCCACCTTGCCTGAGCTCTTCTTTTACTGATTCCTGACCCCTAGAATGCCTGTCATCCCACTGTTCCGTTTTCTGCCAATCAACTCCTGGCTGGTTTTGAAATTAGCATTCACATTTGCATGGCACACAGACAGATATCTCCCATCTCGAGCCAAAGGAAGACAAGCATAATATCCTTATAATTGGGAAGAGAGACTATCAGTCACTCGGCCTCCAGTGGAGCAGAGAGCCCCGCCAGGCCCCATTCTGCTGATCCGGGTGTAAAGTGTCCATTGTCCTCATTCCTCTGCAGCTTCTCCCTGTAGTAGCATCACACAGCACATGCTAAAGGCATGCAGGTGTGCACCGCTTTAATGACCACCAAAAATCAGAAGCCACATTTACAAAACAGATCACATGTGTGTGGAGCAAGTGAGGAGATAGTCTAGGGGGATGAGGTTGTTCATATTACGGGAGAATTAATCAGATCCCTTCAGCGATTGGAACTGCCCAAGTTAGAAAACATGTTCATGGGAGTTCAGTCTTTTAATTGAGTAACAGTTGGGTGAGGGGAGCAGAGCATGCTAAAAGCCCTTCCTCACATATGTCGCTAGGAAATAGGGACGGAAACATGCTCTCATGCCAGAGACCAGAGACAGGACAGGACCTCCAAGCCTAGCTCAAGCTGATAAATAATGGAGTCCTGAGATCTGCAGAGTCTGAGTCTATCAGTGGGAGAGAACACTATGATTGCTTAGCTTGGTCTGCCATGAGTTGGGCAATGGGTATGAGTATGCCTCACTTTATGGACCCACACATCACTCTGCACTTCTTGTAACTAATGCAAGGAAGACAAAGTGTGCTTTACAAATACATACCCATCAGTAATACTGAGAAAACATTTATAGCAATAAAGGAAGTGGTGATTTTTTGAATATATGTTAAAATTCCAGATAATTCACTGGAAAATAAAATCTTTTATCTCTCTTTTCTCTGGCCACATCCAGAGAATCAATATTTGTAAATTTAATGGAAACCTTTCCAACCAAGTTGCTCATTTTTGTTTTCATTTACTTCCTCTCTTTGATTTCCTTTACTTCCGATATACTTCTAAATTCACAGCAGGTTGACTATTAATTGTTTCTGTAGACAATAGCAGAGGATATTGGTAAAAATGTAAATAAGCTTACCATTTCCCACAGTCATTAGAGGTGACTTAGAAACCACATATATTAGCAGGGAAGTCATAGAAGAGTTTAGAAAAAGTTTTAATAACCAGGATGTAGCTAATAGTTAAAAATAAGTTAGCAATCAATTTATTCTTCAGTTATGTTTTTGTCTGGTCAAAAATCTCTGTACTTTGAATAGTGCATGGAATTATTGCTCAACAGATTGTGTTTTTTAAGTGCAGTGAATAAAATGTGTGCCACAAATCAAGGAAGTTACGGGCATTCCAATTATGCCAGCTATTGACGTATCTGTGAATACTTCAGTATAACTTGGTACAACTTGTCTTGGACTCAGTGCTTGGGTGAAGAGAGTTTCCTTGTTTTGAAGCCGTGGTTCCAGGTTGACTGTCTGTGAGCTGGGAATGGCATGTCGGAGTTCCTTTAAATGTGCTGTTGTGTGTGGTCTTGGGTATGTTTCTCTTCCATGATTCATTATCTAGAAACACTTATTCCAGATAAGCGATTTCGTAGTTAAATATCTGGATGCTAATTTTCATTTCACCTAGAGCATTGCAAATAAAAATGTAAACATTACATCTAAGTCAAAAGCCTGTGTCATTCTGAAGGGATGTGTGAGGACTGCTGTGAGCTGACACCCAGCTACCGCTACGTTCAGAGGGAATGTGGTTGCCATGGATACAGCCTATGTTATACTTACTTAAGCTGAAAAAGTAAGATGGATCTTTATTAAGAAAAAATAAAGTTCATTTGGTTGATTTGCTTGCCAGTGAAAAATGGTTTAGCCATTTAAATTATAAGTCATAGATTTGGCCTGTTTTCATAAACTTAGCTAGAACTTAGCTTCATACTCTGATAAGAACACAATCGAAGCACACAATATTTTAAAACTAAGAAAAATATTGTATCCAAGAACATACATTGAAAATAAGTATTTTAATATTTTTCAATCTTTCTTTTTAATGTAATTTCTGCCTTTAAGAGAGTTAAGTGTATAATTAAGTTGTTTATTTTGTCTTAGTTGTATTTTTTGTTACACTTTTCAGAAATTATTGCTGCAAAGGGGACAATTTCCAATCCTTTGCTTTGATTAAAATTGAATGAAAACCTTATAGATTTATCAGATAGTAGTTACTGACATCTATAGTCAATTATGTATATTGTGGAATACAACTTACAATAAGTTGAAAAATTTATGGTAAGTGACATCACTATAACAACACTTCTGAGGCTCTAAGAATGTCTTTCATGTGGAACTGTTTCATTCTAATACTAATAAATTTTTAAGTAAAATTTTATTTTTGTTCACAATAATTTTGATCAATGCATTTAATACCATACATCATTTGAATCAATATTGTAAAGTAATAATTATGATTATAATTCAAACAAGAATATATTTTTTCATCTTTTTGATTAGTGCATATTAGTTATACAGCTTTATAGATTTCATTTTGATGGACTCATAAATGCACATAACATACTTTGAATGCCTATGGGCAGGGGAAAGAGAAATCAAATCTAAATGTATACATATTAAATTTAGCATGTATGATTTCTGCATATTCACATAAATTCATTGCAAAGTGGTAGTGGTATGGAAAAATACATAGCATACAACTTTCAAGTATATAGGCCTATGTTATTAGGACAAAATTCTGTGAATTGGGACTCCAGATTCAAAAAGAAGAAGAACTGCATAAAAAGTTATGATATTTGAACAAGAAAGGTTTTATGTGCTTTTAAATAAGAACAGGTGAATTTTAAATCAAATTGGCATTCAAATTTCATCAGAAATATTGCAAAGAGCAACACAATGGATATCTTTCAAGTGTATTAACATTTAAGATGTATCAAAATAATTAATTTGTTTTGGAGGAGCAGAGAGGTCTCACAAGGTTGCTTGTGGGCCTGATTTGGTTGGGCTTTATGATGCTCCTGCCTCAGCCAGCCGGAATGCTGGGAGTACAGATATGCACCACCCACCTGGCTCTAATGGTTCTTTTATAGCCATTTCTTTGAGCCCAATCTACCTAATGTGATAAACAGATTAAATACAGTCCTTATCAAGATAGCAATAGCATTTTTAGAAAAACAGAAAGAAACCAGCCTAAGATTCATGAAACCACAAAATAACATATAACAAAACAACTTTAAGAAATAAAAGAGTAAAAAGCAACATTCTTCCTTATTTTAAATTACATTATAAAGCTGTAGTAAAATAAAACAGTATCATAGTGACATAAAAACAATTATACAAACCAATGGAACAGAATGGTGGCTGGAAACAGATCCATGGTATGCAGTCAGTTGCTGTCTAAACTAATTAAGAGCTATCAAATGCATAGTTTTAGGTGAATTTACTTTTTTAATTATTCTCAGAATATATAAAAGCAGGAATAGGCTCTACTTTCTGAAACAATATTTCTTGGTGCTACTAAAAAGCGCAAATTCCTGCTCAGGAGTTTCGTGTATAAACATTACACGACCCATTCCTGGAAATGTTGTTTCTTTGGACCTGAGGCAGGGCAAAGTTTTCACCAAAAATACTGCACTTTTCCTTTCTTTTCACTATGGTTCTTGCTAATGTCTTGAACTGCTCAAAAATGTGTGGAACTGTGCAAGATGGCATTAACGCTGAAGCTCTGGTTGTCCTATCAACAATTTTCTCTGCCGGAGAGTCCTTTATGTCACTTTCCAGAGGGCCAGTGAAATCCTTCCATACAACTGGCATGTTATTAGAGAATGAATCTGCGTGTACACTATGTGTACAGTATTCCCACCAAAGCAGGCAGTTGGTGGAGATCTGGGGCTGCAGACTGAATCTCCTGATTCTTAATTGCTGTCCAAGATGGCACACAACAGCTTGCCTGAACCGGTCACTGCCTGCGATGGAAAATGCTTGCAGTGGAAAGCACCCATCTTTCCTGGCTCCAGGGTAGTCCTGGGGAGTCCCATGCACAGAACGTCTCATCAAAGGTTAGTAACCCAAGAAATAAGACAAATGTGTGTGTCATTCTGCAGCATTAGGAGAGTTTATACAAGCATTCAAAAATCTGGGAAGAAGGACCAAATATCAATGAAAACGGGGAGTTTTCTCAAGGTTGCTGAAATAGGAAAATGTTAAACAGAATGCAGAAAGGACATTTCTTGGTTCTACTGAGAGTTGCAGAACACTTTGAGTAAGCAAAGTTCTATGAAAATAACTTGCAAATCCCACCTGGATCCACCCTTTCACAGTGAGAAATACTACCATTACCAAATAGCGTAAGTAACATAAGTTACTTCTATAATGAACACAGCTTAGTATTCTGATCTGTCTGCTATTCCTTGCTAGTCCTCTAGGAAATAAATTTTTTGTTGCATTACTTCTTTAAGTTATAATGCCCTGATGACTTATCTGCAGATGATAGTCAAGTTTTGGGTAAAATAGCCACTAACCAGTTAGTTGTCAAGGTATTTTCTTTTATTTTGCTTTACTAGTATAATGTGTCTTTGCAAGTTTGCAGTTGGTGAATAGTTCTGTAAACACATGAACAAGCCAAACAGAAGAATTTAAACAGCTTCTGAAGTGAAATTAAATATATATATATATAGTTTTGTTTTTCATATTTTCTGTATTTCCTACATGCAAATTCAGAAATATAAAATAAATTATGCACAGTCTGTGAGTAACAGCCCTTAAATTTTATACCCAGTTGTGGAATAAAGTATTTTGTACTTATAAACTAAATGAGATAATGTTAAAAAGAATCTTCTTGAAATACAAAAAGGTAGTATTATTTTTTTTCTCCTTAACTTATTTCCTTCCACTATTCATTGAGAATTTCAACATCTTTTCAGACTAAATGACTGACGTACAAAAGTGAACTAAATCCTACTAAATTTGCTCACTCCTGGATAGAAATGCAATATAGGATAGTAGAGTATGGTTTAGTTTACTGTTATTTTCAATGTGCCTTACCAGCCTCTACCCTGTGTCATCAGAATCTGCTTGAAGCACTCGCATAGCCCAAGCACATCGCTCTCTCTATAGGAATGTTTGGGAGCATCACAGACTAAAGATATTAATACACTTAAAATGATAGAAAAGATTATATGTTGCAACAAATCACCAGTAAGTGGGTTTTCTTTAATGATATGAGATTTAAACTGAAATTGTCTACATAGACCATTGTGCAATGAATCTCACAAAGTCCTATTTTTTATACTTAATGATATAATCAAAATTCTTTCAGAAATGAATTACATTGCATAGTAACTTCTTTCAGAAATAAGTCAAGTATGTCTAAAATAGAATAAGATATAATATTTTGCAAAGAACTTTAAAAGCCTCCCACCAAAATAAAATGTGCTCTCCTCCTTTGTGATACACAATATCATTGTTTTTTAGGATGTCTCTCTAGTCATGATCAGTTATTATGATAATAATTGTTAATAAATAGGTCTTTGATGGCAACTTCCTCTCCACTGGAACTTCTCATCACAGTGATAGGATAATAATAGTAGAATGTGTTAGTGTTTTTAAATAAGAGCAAAGTATTCTCCAAGGAAGGATATAAGCATGATTTATAGTGACAGCTATAATATGAGCAATAATTTATTATTTAGTGTGTTCTACTGAGTGGAAAAGAATAAAAATATGAGCAAACAAACTCAAGCTAACAAGTGTTTACACAGTAGGTAAAGAGTCCTCCCTCTGCGGTATTTTTTCGGTAGCCTTTGTCTTTACCCATTTTGTCATCGGGATCTAAATCCATACCATTTCATGCCACACGTTCTTCTACACCACAAGGCACAGGGTCCGTGATCCTCGCTGTTCCCTTCTCTGCTTCTGAATCTTACTTTTACTCTTCTCTGACATCTTCTCCGCTGTCACCAGTGTGCTTAATTCCCCTCAAAGTGTTACCCTGGCTACCACGACCACAGCTTTTCACACATCCTTACATCCCTGTAATCTTCTCCTAACCTAACTCATAATAGTGTTTTGTTAAAATTAAAGAAGCCATTGTTACAGGATTATTTTAGTTAATGCTAACTTCAAATATAGTTTCTGCCCTCCTTAAGTGATTCTCAGTAGCTCCCCCTCTTCAACTGTTCAACTTGTTATCAGCTACTTGATAGAGACAAATTGCCCATTTCTCCTCTCATGACCCAGAGATTTCAAGTTATTCGTCATGACTTTCTCTCCCACTTTTTCCATAACTCTATTGATCTCAGAACATTTTCATCACAGGACTATGGGTATGTTTTCTTTTTGCTTTTAATTCCTAAGTTTTACAACTCATCCTTACTATAATTTCATGCCATCCAGTTAGTTTAATGCCATTTTGGGGTTGATGTAGTCCTAACACAGTGTCTTAGTTATTTTTCTTGTTGCTAAGACAAAATACCCAACACTCAACGTTAAAGCAGGAAAGGTTTATTTGGCTCACAATTTGTAAAGGTTTCAGGGCATAGTTAGGTAACATGGGAGAAGATCATTGCAGAAGAGAAATAGTCCATGGCAAGCAGGCAGGGATGAGCTCATTAACCCTTGTTCTGTCCTTATATTGTACACAGGCTACCTGCCCTAGGGCAGAGATCCTCAGCAAAACCTAATTAGTGGTCACCCTCTGTGGTCTGGCAACTTTGCTCCTTCCCTGCTGACTCGAACTCCTGAAGAAGCCACCTCTCATTTATATGGAATGAATTTGATTCCATACTCATGGAGAAAGATGATTTCCTTTTCTGGTTTCAATTTATCACATACTTGCACTCTGTATCCAGGCTAAAGAGCTCTCCTCAGACTTACTGCTCCTAGGAGAGAGATCAAATGGAATGACAGAGAGTTAATGATTCAGTTAAAAATACAATCAGTGATGCATTTAGATACTCACGGGTTTCAGTGGGTGAAAGTTTGCAGTTTTCAAATGGTGATATGACACTGGATGGAGTCAATCTAAAGTTTTTCATTGCGTGTGCATTTCTTCCTCTTCTCTGTGCCAGAAGCAGCTTGATACTTGCTTAGTCACTCAAGAAGTATTTGCTGAGTGCCTTCGTGTATGTCACTGGATGTCTTAAAGATTCGTTCAAGGAAACAATTGAACATTGCCATCTTAATTCCATGTACCATAATTGAACCATAATTTATGTAGCATTTTCACACATAATCTGTTGTACTCAAAAATGCTGTGAGATTAAGCAGTATTAATTGAGTATTCAGCCAGTGTGAGTGGGAAAACCATTTGATCATTGAAGGCATAAATTAAAAATCGTTGGAACCTCTACTTAAGGCTGTCTCCAGGAACATTTACCTGCTACTACTCTTTGTATTTTCTTTTGGTGATGCATTATTGATTTTTCTTTTTATATCCCACATGTTTACAAATGCTAATCTCTAGAGCAGCACAATTACTCTCCCGACAAAAGCAAATTGTTGCCTAGCTCTGCTTCACTGAGACCCCAGTCAAGGGTTCTGATGACAGACAGTCTACTTGTCAACCATGGTCCATGAACCCAAGGAAGCTGGAACTTACCAGGAGCCGTCCTCCTGCGCTCGCTACCTATGTCTCCTCTGAGTGGACTTTCGCGTGCTAGGTTTGGCAATGGCCTTAGCCTCCCATCATGTGCTTCACGGGCAGAGCAGAGGGGAGCATTTGCACTTTTATGTACCACGCTGCAGACTGCTCTATTGCAAAATAAACAAGCAATATATTTTTAGGGCACCACCTGCAGCCAGCAGCTGTACCAAACAGAACTACGAAGGATGTGATTTGTCCCATTTAACATAAAGCCTTGAGGTCTGAGAAGAGGGAGGAGAAGGTTCTATCTTTGCAACCCACACTTCACAATTTAGAGCAAAGCTGATTTTCTTTCTTTTTTAGATCGGAATTGAAGTATCATTATATTTCTCCTCCTTTTCAACCCTACAACCTCTGGCTGAAAACAATTGTTATTGGGGTTATAACTATTAGCTGGGAAGATCATTTTTCTCTGCCTGTAAACTTCCTTTCTCATTCAAGGGCAATTTCCTCTCATAGCAACCTATACTTAAATGCCAACATCTGCTCTATCTAGGCAATGTGTAAGATGAAATCTGGCATTTACATGGAGCCAGTGGCACAGTGAGAGAAACTCACACACTTGACTTACGGAAGATTTTCTTCTCATCTATAGCTTTCATCTATTTCTGTTCTTAAGGATCTGATTCCCTCTCTACATGTGCCACATAAGTTTAAAATACTCTGCAAGCTGAACTCTTAGCTCTTATTCTAATTGACAATCTGTTCTTGTACTAATCGAATCATTCCAGACACAAAAGCTGTGAATGTATCATGATAAAAATTCTTGCATTGTCTGGATACCTAGAATCTTCAGATTGATGCCACAGATAATGTAAGTAGTTTCTTTTCCCCAGATTTAAAAATCTCCTCCTCCTCTTAATAGCTATTGATCATAACCTCAGAAACTGAAGTCACCATTTCATTTCGAGTTCTTCGAAGTGAGCTAGGATAAGTATAACTGAATTAAAGATGACTCTAGAGGCAATTCAGGTAGTTATGAAGTGAGGTCATTTTAGTACAGAGAGGGGAAGTTAGTTTTGCTATTGAATTAAGATCACTACATACCATACAATACTTTTATATTTCTTGAAAATAAGCAAGTTTTTAAAAAGGAAAGTGTGCTAAATATTTAGGAAGCACACTGGAATGCCATTCCTCAGCCTTACACCAGTGACTAGCACCATGCAGGAGAACACCACACCAACTGTGATTCTGCATTTCATTAATAGCCTTTCATGGTACTCATAGATATTGTTCTAAAACTTAGAGAAGGGGCATGAAGGAATTGGAAGTATGCAGCCACACGTGCCTCCGGCTCACAGAGGAAATCAAATTGAGGAGCTGGGTCCATCACCTTCACCTTCCTCATGCCAATTTTGAGAAACATCAGGCACCAAATATATTCCTGCCCAAGCCGCCTGCAGGGTGTAGGATGTGGAAGCTGCTTCCTTCTCTTGCTCTTTGTATCCTGTTCACGAAGCTTTTCTGGAACGAACTCTCAGACTAGATTTGGCTAAATTGGATCTGGTTCCAAATTGTGAATCAATCAATTTTCTACTTCACAGCTATGGACAATGCCTTTAACTCTGTGTGGAAACTTTGGAAGAATTCTGGAAGGGAAATGTCTTTAGTTACAACTAATAAAAGAAGACCTTTAGCAGAGCATCCTTAGGTTCTGTGAAAGGAAGCATCGGAAAGATTGATCTTTAATGAGCACTTACAGTACCCCAAATATCCTCTGGAGCTTGCAGTGCCTTTTATCATTTCCTCCACTTTCTTCATTCCTTTTTCTTTCTTTTTTCTTTTTGTGCCTCTGGCTGAATAATTTCAAATGTCTTGTCTTTGAGTTCGCTGTTTTTTCTGCCTGATCAAGTCTACTGTTTAAGCCTTTTGGTGAATTTTTCCATTGTGTTACACTATCTTGGGGCTTCAAAAATTGCTGGTTCATATATTCTTTGTTAATGTTCTAATTTTATCCTGACATAATTTTCCTGAAATGGTGAACATCATGATGAGCATTATTTTGAATTATTTGCCAGGCATTTCCTATTTCACCATTTCTTTAGAGTCCATTTGTAGAGAGTTCTTTTGTTCCCTGTGCTTCTCTGTGAGCCTCTCCATTTCTGTTGGGATTCACACATTTGAAGGGGAACAGCAGCCTTCCCGAAACATCATGAGCCGGCTCCCTACTGGAAAAGATGTTCCCTAGATATCCCTACTAGAGATCCGGGGCTCCTCCGTGAATGCAGCCATTTCAGTGGCTGCACCCTCCCTGTCCCGGGCTTGTGTGGGAATTCCCAGCGAGGCGTCCCCTGAGCTCTCACCGCAGGCTCTGCAGGCGAGGCACCCACAGCTGCCCACCTTTGGCTTACTTTCAGTAGCTCCCGGGCTGCTAGAGTACGCTGGACACCACCAGCAGTCCTAGACAGGCAAGACAGAAGCCAGTGCCTTAGGCAGCACCCTACTACTCCCCCAAAACAGTCTGCATGTTATTGTGTGCACATCCCCCTCCCCCTGTCCTATCAGGGCAAAGCTTGGGGATGGAAGTTTTCTTCCACTTACAGTGGCCTGGGCCAGAGCAGAAACAAAGACCAACAAATGTGGGCTACTGCAAAGCAGCACGTTTTGTTTGGCTTTTTAGAATGTTAACTAGAACATAAGGACCACAGCCCTTGTGTGGAGTTGACACACAGCTTACCTTCATTTCATTTAAGATGAATCCCCTACCCAGCACCCCCTCCCTCCACCTCCAGTCCCCTTCAATTTTGCAAAATCTCTATCTCCCTGTTTGGGGTTTTCAGTTTCCTCAACCTGCTGCTCTTTTCCTGTCAGTGCTGAGATTCAGAGGAAACAAAATCAGTCCCCACATCTGAATGTCGGGCGTAGTTGTGCTCCTCGCTTTTGCTGTGCTTTCTCACAAGAAGCCAGGAGCTGGAAATCCCTCTCCCCTGCTGCCCCACACCGTGCTAACCATGGGAGGGCTCTGTGAATGAGCATCTTGAGTTTTCTTACTGGCTTGCAAGTCAGAGTTTTGCAAGCACCTGGGGTAAGGCAAGAGTCACAGCTGCCCCTAGACTTCTCTCTCTCTCTGGGGATTGCTCCATGTATTCGGCAACATGGGCAGGAGGAGGACCTGAGGCTTCCTTTTCAGCCTCCTGATGTGTCACTCCCACTAATTTACTAAATTTTCCATGTGATAATAATCTAGTGTGGATAAAAAAGAAAGTCTTCATTTTTTCACAACATAGGCACTCAACAAATACTAGTTGGTTTTTGTTGTTGTTGTTGCTGACACTACTTTGTCGCAAGAAATAGGCATGGTTATTTGGAAAAAGTAGAAAAATGACTAACCGAGATTTTCACAAAATTTAGAAAATTCAAGAGTTTGAGTTGATTGAGGAATCCGAAATTCAGGCAAGACGCTTAGATGTGATTTAAAGATAACAGAACCCAGAAAAAATTCCTAAACCATGAAGATGTAAGAGGTGTCATTGTTTATTCATTACCATGAGCCACCAAGTTTTCCCTATTATTCTCAACTTTATTTACTTCATTTTATTATGTGATGATAGAAATTGTTCCTGCTACTCCATTGAAGTTTATTCTGTAATAATATTATAAAGTGATGATACACATGGATATCTGAATATGGGACTTTAAAAATGGATAAATCGATTATATTCAGCATTTATAAAATGTACTTTTCCTTCAAGAACTTTTAACATTCTAAAATTGTTTTCTTCAACTTATCAAGGGAAAGCAAACACATGCTGTATCAGCTGCTGATGATTTGACCACAGTCAAAGGCAGAAGCAGCATATACTGGAGAATGGTATTGTGTGTGGGTTTTTGTTTGTCTGTTTGTTTGCTTGCTTGCTTTTCATGAAACCAAGCACTGAACTCAGAATCTTCCTGCCAAGGTACATCCCTAGCCTTTAGACATTTTTTCTTTTGATACATGGTCTTGTCACTAAACTGCCCAAGCTGGACTTGAACTTGTAATCCTCCTGCCTCACTTTTGAGAGTGCCGAATCTCAGGTGTGTGTGCTATGCCTGGCCTTACATCTAGTTTTTGTGCAACTAATTTGCACACTACTCATGCACCCATTCCAAGCTGGCTGAGAGCCTTTCACTACACATCACTCACATGATGGTGGGCTCGCTTCAGAATGAAATTTTTGCACCTATCTTTAGAGGCCATGTAGAATACTGGTATAAATGCTAGTTTCTTGGATTTTACTTCTTATGGTCCTTGGCTATTAAATGGATCTCTCCAAAAGAATATACAAATTAAAATGTTTATTATTCAAATACAGAATGTGTGCATACAAAAATCATCCATGCAAGTAGGCAAGGGAATTATAAGATAGTCCAAGACTTAGAACATTTATTTTTCTCATTTTTACTTAGCACTTTCATAGGAAGAAATGAGTTTCTCTAGAATAAATTACTTGACAAATAAACATAATTCGGTGCTGAGAAAAAATTGTATGCAAATTTACAGTCATAGTTCTTTGCCTTAAAAGTGCAATGTCTAACTTTAATCAATGGTGATTAAGAAAATACAAGAAAGAAAGCAAACTAACAGATACATATATTTAAATTGTGTTCATTTTGTACTCATTAAAAAATAAGCATAAAATAAATCAAAACATAAAACTGTGTAATGGTATGGTAGAAATTATTCTAGTTGATTATATTTGAAGCATTGCCTTCCAGAGTCAAGAATCCAGAAAAGCCCATAAAGATTACCTAGTGTGATTGCTTTGTCTCCTAGCTGAAAACAAAGTCACACAGCCGAGTCATGTCAGGAGCAATTACTCTGTCTTCCAACCTTGTCTCCTCTGTCTCTCCTCTTGTCTCACCTGCCTCTGTCTGATTTTGAAACTGCAAATGTTACTACCTTAGTTCGCAATTTCTGTTATCTTGATAACTTCTTTTATCTTAATATGAAGCTGATCAGTATCTAATAAATATTTGTTTTACACATAGGATGCTGTCTGCCTTCTGTTCCATTTAAAAGCTTAAGCCATCCAATCAACAGAAATCTCTTTTAAAATCAATATGAGATTCTAGAAAGTAAAAAATTCTTTAGCACTCGGAAGAGTGAGTTCTGATCAGCGCACTGAAGTTGGCAGGGCTGGAAGTGAGGTTGCTATTTCCGGCCAGGAACGGAAGCATGAGTAAACTGTTCCCAGGGTGAGCTGCTTTTTTTCTTACAATCAGAAACATTACTCAACAGCAGTAACATTCACAACCATCATTATCACCAC